GGATCGGCCTTTTATCCAATAAATACATCCCTTCCAGAAGTCGGGATATGCTGCACGTATTAGCTCTAGAATTACCACGGTTATCCGAGTGGTAAGGAGACCACCAAATAAATGATAACTTATTTAATGAGCCATTCGCAGTTTAACAGTGCAAAGTGCTCACAGTTAGACGTGCATGGCTCTGTCTTTGAGACAAGCATATGACTACTGGCAGGATCAACCAGGTAGCGGGTGTGACGAGCAGCCGCAAGGAGCGATGGTCGAGGCGCACGTAGGCACGTGACGCCGGGCAGCCTACCAAAAGAACGTCGAACAATCGTGGAACGTGCAATGAGTTGCCGAGACGCCGCGAAGTCCGGCCATCTCCAACGGCAAGGTACCGCACAACCCGCCGCACCTGCCCAAGAGATTGGCTGCGAACAGCACCCGCCCACACCACACCCAGAGATCGCAAGTTAACCACACTACTCGAACAACAGCGCGCGCGAAGGAACCACCGACAGCTTCGGCCCACAGTCGGATGCCACCGCCCGCCCAAAACGTACCGACAGCGAAGTGCACAGCCTCATCTCTCCATCGAGAAACGCGGGTGAAGAGAGAAACTAATGCACCACGGTTTCAACAGGCCCGGACGGACGGAAAGCCTCCACCTGTGCACGGGGGCGCAAAAGGAACACAGCCCCTCTCCCGCCTGGGTGCACATCCGCCGGCTGCCGCAGGCACCACCAACAAACAGCACTCGACGCATGCGAAACCCAGGAGACAGAGGACAGTAGCCTTCGAAGCCCACAACCTAAACGCAGCGGAACGACGACGCAACGCGATCTGTCACGGTGTGCAGCATACCGAGACCACAGGATGGGGGACACGACGGGCACAATCGCGCATTCCAAAACGTTGGGCGGATGACGGGCCCAGCCTCATGACGCCGTCAGAGGGTGCATCACGCATTCCACAAGTCTCCGCCCTCGCGTATGGTAAGCAGCGCGTGCATGGCCGTGGCCCCCTGCGCCATTGCTCCATAGCGCAGCTCGGATGGCGAAGAGCGCAGATCGTCCTCACCAAGTCGTGACACCCCCTTAACACAAACCGGACGCGCCGTTGTGAGTGCGGACACGAAGACGACACCACAACAGATCCGCAACAGCTCTCCCCGTAACCTACGGGATGATGGTGCCGAAGCCGAGAGCCTGGTGACGGGCACCTTCGCATCCACACCCTGCAAACGACCGCCAACCGGACCGCCATCTGCGATCAGGCGCCAATCATCGCAAGACGATGAGCGAGGGTGAATGCAACGATCCACAACCCGGCACCACGGCATAGGAAAGCCCCGACAGCCGCGACCGCCGCCAACGTCGACCAAGCTGTCGTGAAATAAGCCCTCCGAGAGAGACGACCATGGACCCGAACGGCGCTGCAAAAATATTCGCTCGACCACCAAAGCACGACTCGCCCGTCCCTCGCAAACTGGAAACCACCCAAAGCGTGCGCAGAGAGTCCCTCGTAACTCGAGTACAAGGTCCCAAAACCCACGCCCGGAACGTCGCCTTCATCGACTGCAAGGGGGCTGCTAAGCACGCAGTGCAAACGGGACGCCGAACCGCCAACCACTGACTGTTTGGCACATCCAGAGGGTGCTCACTCATCCATCCGCCGACGGACCTGCACATGTCCCTTTCCAGCAAGCTGACTGGACAGACCCCAATGCCGATGTCCCCCTCGGGACCTCATCCCTTTCCACTCTCTATAAGACGCCTCTGGACCTTCGATCCTGGGAGACCCCCTTTTCTCGGGGCCGTTCCTACGCCCGAGTGGCATTGTGCGGTATCTGCTGCCCCCACAAAATTCGACACCTCAAAAGTCCATCCCATCTCCGTCCCTTCCACACAGAAAGGGATAAGGGGAAGGGCCGGGGAAAAAAAATAAATACATTTGAAAGAAAAAAAAAAAGGGACGAAACAAACAGAGAAAAGGCCAAGAAGCTTCGGTGCCTACTGACTCAGATCACGCCGCGGTGTGGGAGTGAAAAGTTTACGGGAAGTCTGGCAGAATCGTGCATCCGTTGTGGGGTTATGTGTTGGTGAACATGACCGGACACGCTCTCCAGATAGAGAAGGGGGGAAAGAAAAGTCAAGGATGACTTTACAAAATAGTCATTTTAATTTTTGTCTGCCCTGAAGGAATGCAGCCCCAATTGGGTGGTAAGTCCCATCCAAGGCTAAATATGTGCGAGGGACCGATAGCGAAGAAGTACCGCGAGGGAAGGATGAAAAGAACTTTGAAAAGAGAGTTAAAGAGTGCTTGAAATTGCCGAGCGAGAAGCGGATGGAGGGGAAGTCGTGCGCTCCTGTTTGGGCAGGGCTGGACGGCGACTGTGTTGTCGCCCCCCTTGTTGGATGTGGGGTGCCTGCCAGCATGGGCTGCTGTGACCGGCATTGCGGTGGGGAGCGATTGAAACCCCCCACGGGTGGCCGTCACTCTGCGTGTTCGGGATGCTGGCGAAATTACTCTATCCTGCCCGTCTTGAAACAGGGACCGAGGAGTTCAACGTGCATGSGAGCCGGTGGGTGATTAGCCCACGAGGCGGAAAAAACCTGAGTGGCGGGAACCCTCTGCGGGTGCGCCGTCCGCCAACCACGATCTGTTGTGAGATGTTTGAGTGTGAGCATGCCCGTTGGGACCCGAAAGATGGTGAACTATGCCTGAGCAGGGCGAGGCCAGAGGAAACTCTGGTGGAGGCTCGCAGCGATCCTAACATGCAAATCGTTCGCCGGACTGAGGTATAGGGGCGAGAAACTAATCGAACCGTCTAGTAGCTGGTTCCCTCCGAAGTTTCCCTCAGGATAGCTGGAGCTGTTGAACAGTTTTACCAGGTAAAGCGAATGATTAGAGGCCTCGTGGGTGAAACACCCTCGACCTATTCTCAAACTTCAAATAGGTAAGATTTCGGGGTTGCTTAAGCGAACCCCGAGGATCTATGAAAGCTCCAAATAAGCCATTTTTGATAAGCAGAACTGGCGATGCGGGATGAATCGAAAGTCGAGCTACGGTGCCAAACTGCGCGCTAACCCAGACACCACAAAGGGTGTTGATTGATACAGACAGCAGGACGGTGGTTATGGAAGTCGAAATCCGCTAAGGAGTGTGTAACAACTCACCTGCCACATCAATCAGCCCCGAAAATAGATGGCGCTGAAGCGTGTGACCTATGCTCGGCCGTCGCAGCGATTCTGACGCCGTGATGAGTAGGAGGGCGCGGGGCCTGCTGCGAAGCCTAGAACGTGAGCCTAGGTAAGGCGGGTCCCGGTGCAGATCCTGGTGGACATGGGTCAGTCGGCCCTAAGAGATGTGGAAACCTTCTATCAAGGGCGCACTGGGCGCCGCACATCGAAAGGGGGTCGGGTTAATATTCCCGAACCGGGTTGTGGAGGTGGACGGTAACGTAAGCAGCTCCGNCGCCGCACATCGAAAGGGGGTCGGGTTAATATTCCCGAACCGGGTTGTGGAGGTGGACGGTAACGTAAGCAGCTCCGGAGATGTCGGCGGGGGCCCTGGGGAGGGTTCTCTTTCCTTCTTGACGGYTCGCCCACCCTGGAATCGGATCAACCGGAGATAGGGTGCAGTGCCCGGCAAAGCACCGCGCGTCCTGTGGTGTCCAGCGCGCCCCCGACGACCCTTGAAAACCCGGCCGTACTCATAACCGCATCAGGTTTCCTAGGTGAGCAGCCTCTGGTCAAAGGAAGAATGTAGGTTAGGGAAGTCGGCAATATGGACCCGTAACCTTGGGAAAAGGATTGGCTCTGAGGGCTGGGCCTAGGGGTCTGCGCCTGGATGTCGTTGGCTGTCGGTGGTCTGCCAGCTGCTCTCGCGGCGAGGGCGVAGCCCGCGTGCCAGTGTGCCGACGGGTGCAGTATGTCTTATGTCCCCACCTTTCGGGTGGGGCCGTGGGACTCTCCCTAAGCATCTAACTGCCGACTCAGAAGTGGTGCGGACAACGGGAATCCGAATGTTTAATTGAAATGGCATTGCGATGGTCCCAACGGATTTTGACGCAATGTGATTTCTGCCCAGTGCTCTGAATGTCAAAGTGAAGAGATTCAACCAAGCGCGGGTAAACGGCGGGAGTAACTATGACTTTCTTAAGGTAGCCAAATGCCTCGTCATCTAAATAGTAACGCGCATGAATGGATTAACGAGATTCCCACTGTCCCTATCTACCATCCTCCGAAACCACAGCCAAGGGAATGGGCTTGGAAGAATCGGCAGGGAAAGAAGACCCTGTTGAGCTTGACTCTAGTTCGACTCTGTTGAGCTTGACTTTATTTCGCCGCTACCAAGGGAATCCTTGTTGGTTTCTTTTCCTCCGCTTAGTTATATGCTTAAATTAGGTGGGTGCTCCCGCCCGACCTGAGATCAAAAGGGAAGGCCCGACGTACCTCCACAGCTCGAGGCCGACACCCCCAACCGCAAGCCCACCTCAAGCTGATGGGAGCGAAYGGAAGGCGGCGACCACACAAACCGGAGGGACGACCTTACGTGCCATTTTCGGGCAAACGAAAACCACCACCCACAAACGGGTGCTGGAGGGCAACAACAGGGCGGAGCGAAATGCACCACTCTGGGCTGCGACCGCAAAGGTCCGCTCGGAATGGTCTCCAATTCCCTTCCACTTTAGGCAATCGACGCTCTCCAAGTGGGAAGCGAGGGAAGCCACGACCACGGACCCCACCACTCTCTGAAACGGAAGGTCGTGAGGAATCCAATGATGCTCAGACGGGCGTGTCCTCGGCAGAAGCCGAAGGCGCCACGTGCGTTCAAGCTATCGATGGCTCACGGAATCCTGCAATTCCTATTCAGTATCGCATTTCGCTGCGCTCTTCATCGTTGCGAGGGCCAGGATATTGGTTTGCCGAGAGTTCCTCAATATGGTGCCGTTCCGACAAGACCGACCCCTCGACCAGAACAGAAGGGGGCCATCAACCCAGACAGCGACAAATCAGAGCAGGTACATCAATAAAAAGTTGCAAAGCCGTCGCCACAAGCCGCTGCCACGGGCCCGACAGACCCCCCGTTCAGGGGGCCAGGCAGGGCACCGGGGAGCAGCGGGGCAACGAGGGTGCAAGCACTCTCCTTCCCCCCCCCCCTAACCCGACACCACCCCGTTCACGACCAAAACCCTCCCCCAACGGCCCTCCACCACGAGATTCAGACCACCTCGACTGTGTCGAGGACGCTGATCTGTCCGGAAAGGAGAACCCGGTTGGGAAGGAAGGCAGGACGAAACAGGGAGGGGCCTAGGACCCCGCAACACACCTCGCCCCTAGCCTGTACCACGACCCTCGATCCCCAAACAAGCCACAAGCTCCGCACGAAGCCGAGGTCGAGGCCAGGATGGAAAGGAGGTCTGGACAAAGCTGACACGGGAAGGAGCGGGGGGGGTATGCAGGCCGAGGACAGCCGCCACCACCCGACATCCCGCCCCTGACCCTCCCGCAGGGCTCTCCGTGCCCGGAACAACTGCCATCCGGACCAGAAGTCGAGAGTGGGGCTAGGCCGAGGTAACAACCTGCGGAGGCGAGACAGGATGAAGGGGGAGCAACGCCACAAGGCCCCGGACCCTGCCAACTCCCCCCACCCTCAACCTACACCACGCGCCCCTCTGCGCCGGGATAGCCGCCAGCTGGGCACTAAGCCCAAGATGGTGCTGAAACGGAAGAGAAAAGCGGATGCAGGGGGGATGGGGCCAAAGGGCGGCGGAAGGGCGAGCAAGCCAGCGTCCCACACCCCGAAGATCGGCCATTCACGTGTCAATGATCCTTCCGCAGGTTCACBTACGGAAACCTTGTTACGACTTCTCCTTCCTCTAAATGATAAGGTTCAATGAACTTCTCAAAGCACCCCAAGCGGCAAACCGCCGAGATCACCGCAATCCAGACACTTCACCGGACCATTAAATTAGTAGGAGCGACGGGCGGTGTGTACAAAGGGCAAGGACGTAATCAGCGCGAGCTGATGACTCACGCTTACTAGGCATTCCTCGTTCAAGATCAATAATTACAACAATCTATCCCCGTCACGATGAACCTTCAGAAGGTTACCCGGGCCTTTCGACCCAGGCAAGCGACTCGTTGGATTCATTAGTGTAGCGCGCGTGCCGCCCATAACATCTAAGGGCATCACAGACCTGTTATTGCCTCAAACTTCCGTTGGCTAGTCGTCCAACAGTCCCTCTAAGAAGCTGGCCACGAGGAAAGGTCCCCGCGTAGCTATTTAGCAGGCTGAGGTCTCGTTCGTT